GAACCAAATCATAGTAAATTAAAATGTATATGTATTGGTTTATAAGCCTCTCCCTCGACTGGTACTTATTACAAGAGGATTACCATACAAACAGCATACCGTTAAAATCCAGAAACCTGGTATATTTTAAAAATAAAGGACATTTCAATAACATAAGTTTGGAAAAAGTTGAGCACCCCTCACCCAATTGATCACATTTAAGAAGTCATCGATTAATTGGTCTTATTTATTGTCAGAGTAATGAAGAGCTCATTCACCATACGTTGCATCCTGAAATCCACAAAGATATAAAAAAAAAGGCTTTTTTTTGCATAAATATGTTTAAAATACTATTTTGATTCACCCTGCAAGATTTTAGCTTTCAAAACTGCATTTTAAGGTTTTTATTCAACTTTTAAAAAACGGGACGTATACCTCCCCGGCCGCACATAGCAATGCAAAATTAGAGCGGCAATTCCACTACACTTCACTTTCTCGGGTATTCACTCATTTCTGAAAATTATCACAAAAATAACTGTAAGTGATCATAAAAATTAAATTATATTATTTCTAAAAAAATGACACCAACGGCTGGATTCAAATTATATATTTCTTTGTATTTACAAATTTTTTTCTTCCCTACAAAAGTTCCATATTGAAAATAGTATAAGTTATGAATTTTATTACTGCACTTATATTTATTTTGAGTTTCAAACATTTTTATAGTATATTGTTATATATATTGGTTTTAGGTGGATGGAAAACTGATAAACCGCATCATTTTAATTCTGTATATTTTTACATTTATTAATTTTTATTATTACATCTTAATTTAATTATATATATATATATATATATATATATATATATATAATATATATATATATATATATATATATATATATATATATATGTTGGAAATTTACATTTATTTGATTAGTAGACAGAGAGTCACATGTACCAAAATCAGCATTCAGTCAAAACCAAAATAAAAAAAAAAGAAGAAATTATAAAATTAACTTATTTACATTTATTTTATGTATAAAACATTTAAATAGAATATAAATAAGATCATAGATATGACAGAAATAACTAAGAAAGGGCATATCGTGGGTTCAGAATAAATCTGCAACTGATATCTTCTAAATGGTCAGAATCCGGAAAGACTGCACTGAGTTAGCTACAGGGGACTAATGAATGCACCGACCAAGCCACAAGTTAAATGGTGAAAGCAGGACTTGCACCTACCTGTTTAAGTGGTGACCGCCCAGGCGGGAAGGTATATGTTCTACCCACACCAGTAACCCAACTCTTAACGGGAAGGCAAGTATTATGTCCGCAGTCAAAGGGATAAATGTATTATTATTTGGTTTTTGTTGAAATAATTATTTATTAGACTAAATTTTTATTTGAATAAATTTGTATTCGAATGATTTTTCATTCGGAAGAAATTTTAGTCATAAATAAACAACTAAAAATTAATTCAGAAAAAATTTCAATCGTTTATAACATATGTTTATTTGTGATTAAAAATTCTGAATAAAAATTTAGTCATTTTTTATCCGAATAAATTTTCATTCAACTAATGCCCAACTCTGTATAAATGAACTTTTTAAGAGAGGAAACTCATGCAATAAATGTTGAAGTTATCTCCTGTTTGAATGATTTACTAAATTTTGTATTTTTCAAATAGTTTTAAAATTTCACTATGTAATTAAAGAAACTTTAGTGGGCCGGATTGAAGGTGTTTGCAGTGCCGTAGTTAGGAGACCCCTGCTATAGTATACACTGACCAAATCATGGCCACGGAAATGGTTGGCTGCCATACATTAGCCGAGATTTGCTAGAATTACAATTGAGGAACTGGATGACAAAGGTGGTCCAAAAGTTATAGAATATCCTATTATCCAATCATGCTAACCCCCAATTCCTCCTGGCACATTTTGAATATATTTCCTCAAATTTCTCCATACTCTTTAATCATTGCCAACCCTTCAAGACCTTCACTTTCAGGCATGTCCCAGCTCCCTGGATTACTATCATGGAACTGGATTACAAAGGTGATTCAAAAGTTTCAAGAAGGTCTAAATAGTATCTATGCATGGAAAGTGAGCAATGGCTCGAGATTTAATGTAGAAAAAACCGAGGTCATCCTCATAGGTTTCATGTACCTTATTAGTTTTCTCCCTTATCACCCCATAATCTACCTCAGTAGCCTACTTATTCACTTCCATACCTTTGGCAGAAACCTTGGAGTCACTTAAATACCAGAAAAAACAGAAATAACTTAAAAATGCATTACTAACCTTAAAAAATCTCTACAATTTCCTGATTCCAAATGCTGAAAATTATTCATCTCTTAGTTTCCTCACTCATTTTTCCCCAGTTTGAATAGAAATCTTAGGAACGTTTTAAGGACACCAATGGATTTTTGAATGATTTAAGAAATAGGATTATTCCAAGATAGATATACTCCAAGGTTTAGAACAAAAGTATGGAAGTGACAGTGGAGGTCTTGAAGGTGTATGATGATTATGGAATATAGAGAAACTAGAGGAAAGAAATTCAAAATGTGCCAGGAGAGATTAAGAGTAAGGGAAATTATGAAAATTTGTACTGAAAAATAAAAGAAGTATTGGATATAAGCGGATATACAGAGTAAGATAGTATTCTGTGTAATACAGATGCACAATGAAAATAAAAATAAAATAATGTGAGAAGAAATAAAGGAAAGTATTACTTTTAAAATGTGAAAGAATACAGGTAGATTATTAAGAGATAAATGCATATGAAAAATAAAATTTAAATGCAATGTAAATTTCATAGCTTCAAGAAAAAATTAAGAATTGCTTGAGTGAAAAATTAAGAAAAAAAAAATGGCATCAGTATGAAAATAAACAAGAAAAATATAAACATAAAAATAAATGACAGAAGACAACATTCATATATCCTGTGACAGTAGTTAATATCATTGAAAAATTTTGATACGAGAAGGAGTTGATCGGGGGGTGCGGTCAAATTAATAATGAATTAAACAATTAGAATTATTTAATTTTTGCCAACGTTTCGACCCCCTTTGCAGGTCTTCATCAGGGCGTAGGATATAGCACTGAGGGAGGCAGTTGAAACACTGTCTCTTGCAGTGCTATATCCTACGTCCTGATGAATACCTGCAAAGTGGGTCGAAACGTCAGCAAAAATTAAATAATTCAATTGTTTAATTCATTATTAATTTGACCGCACCCCCCCAATCAACTCCTTCTCGTATTGTATCAACGGTCAACCATCTCTACATCATTATGAAAAGTTTTGATGTTTATGACGAAGTCTTGCTGATTATGACAACTGGCATTCTATTATCAAACCAACAGTGATTCCACCCTTGGGTAATGTGTTTAACTTTAACGAAGACATTCTTCTACCAAGCCAATCCAGTGCAGATATCTGGTGGCAAGATTCATGACGTATATTCTCCCAGCCAAACTGCTTTGTATTAAAATTCTTTTTCACCTTCCTGAAATCACATTGTCATGGAAATTCTGGTGAATGAAGATTGATGGCGGACAAGGTCCTTTCTTCTGGGTTCTAATTTTCCACCATACCCAAGGCCATTCTGATAGACCATATCACGCTCTCTGGGATTTCTCCGCTTATGTCAGATTTCTAGAGTGTGCGAGTAGGAGCTACTCTACCTTGTTCAACCCTTTCTTCTATTGCTGTAATATGACTCCTTAAGTTTTTGTTCTCAACTTATAATTAATTCCTCTCTCCTAATCTCCTAGCGCTTTCAAATATTAAGTCTCTCTGTGTATATTTACAAGTTCTTTATTTTTTATATTTTGTTAGCGATTTTTCTGATCTCAGTGAATATAGCTACAATACTTTCCTCCATAAGTTTTCGAGGGGGAAAGTTATATTGATGGGCCTCTAACATAGCTGAAATCTCCCATACAATGAAATTTCATGGTTTCTTCTTTAATTACATGACTTAGGCCTCAGAAATCTTAGAAGATTTATAATGAAAAATAATTTTACAAATAAAGCATCAGAGTACTAGGTTGTCATCCCTGGCAGGAATGTATCTGAGGGAGGATGGGCATTTTTCTTATTTGAAATTTCTACAACCCATTGTAAAGACATTTTCCGGCTTACCCTTCTCTGTCTGCAAATAGTTTGCTCTTTAAATAACTTTATAGACCTTTAATCTTTATAAAACTTTACACGATATAACACAACACACCAATTCCCTACTTAACAATGGAAATTTCAAAGATAAACTGAATCAGAAATATGGATATTGATTGTAGTACAGGGATGTTAACAGGTTGCTATCTCTGGCCAGACTAAATATAAAATAGTAAGGATACTATATTATTTACATGTCTAAGTGATATGAAGCATTAACAGATAATTTAAGGTTTTTTATACCAAATAAAAGTTAGGTAAAATAGATTAATATATTAATTTTGAATTAAATGAACAGCAATCAATGGCTGGATTACATATTTTAAAAAAAATAAACTGGAAGAACAATAATAAAATCCTTATGGTTGTTTTCAAATAGAGGTTTCTAAATGAGAATGGAAGAGAAGTTATGGATTTTATTATTTATATTATATTTTATATTTATACTATATAAAATATAACTTTATTTATTAAAATATTCTAAATGTTAAAACAAACTAAGAAAATTTTAATTCAAGTATACTTTTTTTTCAAGGTAATGTGCTGAAGTCACAAGACACTATTATTGTTTATATATTTCTCAAAAGTTGTTAAGTACAAAAATAAAACATAGAAAATTCATCAGGATATAAGAACACTACAATATGTTTACAAAAAGTGTATCGAATTTAGAAATACAAAAAAATTCCATACAATTTGGAAATAAAAATGACTATAATTATATATACCTAGGTGTAGCTTTACTAAACCTTTATACAGAATTATTAAAAACATGTTTACTAATAAAACAAAATTCAAATAAAGTATAAAAGATAAAGGTATACACCAATACAAACCTTTTTCACACCCTTGTAAATGAAAACATACAATTCTCTTCCTATATTAAAACAAATCCTATCACCGTTTCCATTTGGATCTGGTAATGTGACAAACGACACTCTAACAGAAGTGCTCCCTTGAATATTAGTATAGCCAACACGATTTGGTCGTGAGTATTCTGAAAGTGTCATTAACCGGTAAGTCCCTTCCCTAGTTATAAACTGTGTCTTGAGTTCTTCTTTGCCTCCACTGTCAACGTTTAAAGCCATCCCTGAATTCTAGAAGATTGAAATTTTAAAGTAAACACCGTTTGAGAGCAAGGGTTACACAGCTGTACGGCACGGAATACAATCCAAGGAGGTCATTTCTCGGTCATAGCAGCCTGGTATATTTTGATTTAAGTTCAACTTTCTTGTTAAGATGTCCAATTCAGTGTCATATGCAATTGAATCTATCGTATCTATTGAATGAGCTTTATAGGACCTTAGAAAGGTTATTTTACACGAAAAAATTTCTAATTAAGACATTTCTGCTAAAAATATATTCCATTTTTGTGATTCTTAACTTTCATTACGTAACTCATTTTCTTCTTATGTGAAGTCCATCGAGTTCAACAATATTCTACTGTCAGTAGAATTTAATGATTATAGGTGTTGCTGCAATATTGAGAAATACATTTTTTTAATTTACTGCAAACTTAAATTCATCGGCTTCAATTGACAAAATGACCACGATTGGAAAACTTTCAGAATTTCGTTCTAATGGGAAATAGGAAGACTTTAATGAACGATTTGAGTTTTATCTTAAATTAAATAACTTAACGGAAGAGAGGAAGAAAAAATGTACCTTATTGATGAGTGTAGGAGAAGAGACTTATTCAGTAATGAAATCTTTGTGTTCACCTTTCTCACCTCAAGATTTGAAGTATGAAACAAATATTGAAAAATGTAATAAGCATTTTGGAGTTTCAATAAACAAGTTATTAGGCCGAGTAACGTTTCATAAAAGAGATCAGTTGGAAGGTGAGGCTCTTTAAGAGTTTGTAGAACAATTAAGAAAGCTGGGACAATACTGTGAATTTGTTAATGACAGTAAACCCTTGCCACTTGAAATAATGCTGACAGATTTGTTGCTGGAATTCGGGATAAAGAGATGCAAAGGTATTTATGTCGTAAACATGAGAAATCACTTTCTTCTAACAATCCGATTGGTTTGTCATTGGATAACGAAATTGCCATTGCAACACGCGTGGAACCGACAGAAAAACAACATCAGTTATTGAGGAAAGGTGAAAAACAAACTATTTATAAAGTTAAAAGCAGTAGATGTGATTCCGTACCGAAAGTAAGATGTAATATGTGCAATAAGGCCAACCACCTGGCACCTGAACGCAATTTTAAGGACCACGTTTGCAAGGTATGTAAAAAGATAGAACATTTAGAATCAATTTGAAGAAACAAAAAAGGCACTCTACAAAACTTTAAAAATCAAAAGCCAAATAATACTAAGCTTGTCGAAGAAGAAACTGACGAGGAAGATACTCTATATGTTTTTCATATTCCTAAAAATGTTAATAAAGAACAAGAATTTTCTACTAAAGTAAAAGTAAATTCAATAATTGTAAAATTTGAAGTAGATAATGCAGCCCATTTAACTTTAATTAACAAATTAACTTACCAAAAGCTGTAAAAAAAAAAAATGGTTAGAGGGGCACAGCGGCTCACCAATTTATATTGAAATTAAGGAAGGGGCTGTACCTAAATTATGTAAAGCTCGACGAGTTCCCTATATATTTAAACATTCTGCTATTTGAGCTATGCAATGGATGGTGAATTAAAAGATGCTACGAGCTGTTAACCAGTCGGACTGGACTACTCCTACTCACTTCGTCCAGAAGCAGAATGGCAAGGTAAGGGTCGTCGGTGACTACAAAAATACAGTTAATCCTGCTGTTAACGACTCAGAATATCCCTTACCAACTGTCTCGTAAGCTCTAGCTACTCTTAATGGGGGTATAATTTTCTCACAGATAGATCTACAGGATGCATATAAGCAGCTTAAGGTGGATGAAGATATAGCTAAATTATTGACTATTAGCACTCCGATTGGGTTATTTGAAGTCCACAGATTATTAGATGGGCCCAATCTGGCTCCTAGAATTTTTCAAAAATCGAGTAACGTTTAAGGCATACCTGGTGTGTTTGCCTATCTGGATAATATAAAAATACATGGTCAATCTGTTGAAGAGCATGATAAAAGACTTATAGAAGTACTTAAACGTTTAGAAGGCGCTAATCTTAGAATAAATTATGACAAATCTCTTTTTGGTGTCATTTCAATGGAACTTTTCGGTTATAGAATAGACAGAATTGGTGTAAAACCTGCGCAGAAGAAGATAGAAGCAATTACTAGTATACTTACACCAAGAAGTAAGGAAGAACTTCAAGTTTTTTTGGGTGGAATAAACTTCTACGCCAAATTTATTCCTGAGCGCTCTGAAATTGCTGAACCCTTACATAGACTATCACTAGCTGGTCCAGGATTTAATTTTGGGGGGGCTTCAGTCCGAAAGCTTTTTTTTTTCATAAAAATAACGATAATTACTTTGGAAAAGATGAAAGAAACTAACTACCTGTATGAAATGGTGTTTAAGTGGTTCCTAAAGCCCCTTTAAATGTAATTACACAAACAATAATACTTTAAGAGATACTTTTTTAATATTTTTTTCGATAAAACATGGCTATATTTTACCATTTGGGGGGGGAACTTCAGCCCGAAAGCCCCCCCCCCCCCGTAGATCCGCCCGTGTAGACTATTAGACAAAAATAAGGCTACGAAGTGGTTTGGATCACATCAGCGATGTATTGAACTTTTAAAACAAAAGTCAGTAGAAGCACTTAAAAATAAAATTAAAGAAGAACCTATTTCAGTAATGATGCTGGAAGGAATCAGTAGACATCCCATTAATGCGGCTGAGATAGCGGAGGCCAGAGGCAAAGATCGCATTTTAAAGCAAATTTCAGCCTGGATTAAGAATAGTTGGCCCTCAAAAATACCAAATCAATTTCATAATTTTTGGTTAAAAAGAACTGAACTTTCAATCCACAAAAATTGCCTGCTCTGGGGTAATCGAGTCATCGTTCCCCCAATCCTGAGAAACGACATGTTAAAATTTCTTCATGCTAATACCCGGGAATTGTAGCTACTAAAGCTTTGGCCAGATCTCACGTTTGGTGATCCGGTATTGATAATGAAATTGAAGTCCTCATTAATTCTTGTGACTCATGTCAAGAAGTCAGGCACAACCCACCGAAGGCTCCTACTCTTAACTGAGAAGTACCGGAACAATCGTGGACAAGACTTCACATGGACTTTGAGAGACCCTTTCAGGAACATTTTTTTTAATCATTGTAGACGCTACAACTAAATGGGCTGAAGTTCAACGAATTTCATCGACTAAATCAATACAAGTTATCTCGTAGTTGAGGAAATTTGGACTCTCACAATATATTGTTTCCGACGATGGGACTTCTTTCAAATCTAAAGATATGCAAAGATTTTTTACGAAAAAATAGTATACAGAGCATATTCACTGCACCATTTCACCCGATTTCTAATGGTCTGGGATAGCGCACAGTTCAATGCGTAAAGCTCAGCCTACAGAAGCTAAATGATGGTGACTGGGAAATAAATCTTGCAAGACTCCTGCTGACGTTGCATACGAGTTACTACTGCAACGAAGACGGCGCCTGGTGAGATTGTGTTCGTCAGAAGACTTCGAACAGCTTTGGACATACTTTCTCCATTTGATGAAAAAAGAGTGACCATAGATCTGACAACGCCTGCCAACTCCAGGGAGCTTCAGGCAGGAATATAATAAACTACCGGGTCTCGGGGCCTAAATTGATTTTAGCTGAGGTTATACGAAATACAGGCCCTTTGTCATACATTGTAAAGGATCTCGCCCTTTGCCTGCACCACAGAAGGCACATTGACCAACTTTTCAAGGTCCCTGGCAGGTAGTTGTCGAGGAAGTTGCTTATCGGTTTGCATCCTGAGGTACTAAAGTCAGAGGAATTGTCTCATTTCCTTCAGCCAGATGATTCAGATGTCCCTGAGGCAGATGACTACGTTACCTTCTGAGGCGCCCATCATAAGAAGACCACGGAGGAAGAGCGTGCTTGAAGAGGATAAAAATAAATATCGCGGATGCCTCAATATTTGACGGTTTACAATGAAACAAATTTATTTCTTTATTATTATATCTTTATTGTGATTTCATCTTAAATTAAATTCTCTCTGGGGAGGGAGAGGTGTTGTGTACCTCTTTGGGAGAGAATATTAACCATGTCATGTGGACTTATTAGAGTTGGACAAATCATGTTTGTGGATTTCTCATTATTATGAATAAAGTAAATGTATTTCAAGAAGTGTATTTATTGAAAACTTAACAAAAGCTTTACGACCTCTTCAGCCGTTCATTGACGAAAAGGGTTGTGTCGTGGTGTGCGACCGTCTGCACACTTCCAAATTGCCTTATGTCAACAAACACCCATATTTACTTTCATAAGATTGTCACTTGACTAGAATAATTTTATTGATCATTACCACAGATCCTATCCATCTGCCACCTAAAGCGTTGAGAATCATGCTACAGGGACGATATTGGATAATTGGTGCAAGAAAATTAATTCGGCAAAGGGTCTTCAACTATCTCAAGTGCTTTAAAGCTATGCGCTCACCTTAAGCGCCCATTGTGGGCAGTTTGCCATCCTCCCGTCTCGAAGGACAAATATTTGCACTTGTCGGGGTTGACTTTGCAAGCCCATTCCTTATCAGAGAATCCTTGAGGCGCAAGGAAGTCCGTATTTGGACGATCGTACCTTTGCCTCTTCATATGCATGGTCACAAAGGCAGTTCATTTAAAGCTGGTGTCAAAGTGCTCAACTGATGCCTTTTTAGCTGCATTTTAACGCTTCATAGCATGAAGAGAAAAGCCTATTCATATGTAGTCAGACTGTGGGACCAATTTTGTTGGCGAAGCAAATAGATTGAAGGACCTCATTCTGCGTTCAACGTGAAATCAAGTGGTCATCCAATCCTCCTTCATCTCCGCAGTTTGGGAGACTGTGAGAGGCTGGTGTGAAATAATGCAAATCGATATTATACAAAATCATTGCTATCTTGTCCATATAAAATTTATATTTTAAAAAAGAAAAATGTGAAAAAGGTAAATGATTCAGTGATGCAAAGATTCGTATTTAACGTTATAAAAGGACGAAGTAAACACAAGTGCAGATAGACTATATGGTGATCTTGTCTGAAATAATTC